CCAAGATGAACCTGCTTTCGGCTTAAAGTTTCTCATATGGAAGAAACAAGTAGTGAAAAGATTATGGTGAAATTGGGAGAGCTGGGTAGGAAAGTCTGGAAGGCAAGGAAATGTGTTTCTGGGCAGCTCAGACTGTCCAGGACATGGAAAGCCCCTCCAAGGATGGCACATAGCACCTGAAACCTAAGATACAAGTGGAACTTAGTAGGGCCAGGAGGGGCGGGAAGATGTTCACACTGTGGCATGTGTGAAAGCCTGGGTGTGAACATGATGTGATTGTTTGAAGCCCTACCTGGTTTTAGTGGCCGATGCATCTAGAGTCACCATTCACAAGGCCGCAGGGCCCCCTGAGGGTCTTTTGGCTCATGAATAGAATAATCCTTTTTGCATTTTATAAAGATTAATCTGGCTGCTGTGTGGACCTGATTGGGAAGGAGCAAGTCTGGGGACAACAAGACTAGTTGAATGAGAACAGAGATCCAGGATAGGAGTGATGGTGCTGGACTGGTCTCAGAGCTATCTGGAAGAAAGGACTGACATGACTTGGTAGCTGTAGGGAGGTAGGCATGGGTCATTTTCGGAGATTGCCTACGTGTACTCCTTGGCCCCCAGTGTAGGAGCAGTATGAATACGTAGGTCCATTGTTGCCAGTGCTCTGTAAGGAAGGTACTCTGTCCCTTCTTTGCTTCCTCCAAAGCTGGGGAGGGCTGCTCAGCTGTGTGCATGTGCACCTATTATGGTTTAAAAATGTCCCCTAAAAATCTCATGCTCAGAGGTGGAGCTTTTGGAATGTGGTTGGATCATGGGGGCACTGTACTCTTCCAGTGCTGTTAGGAGGTGAGGCCCAGTTGGAAGAGGTGGGTTGGTGCATGGGGGCATGCCTTTGGAGGGTGTTTCTTCATCCCTGGCTCCTCCTCATCTCTCTGCGTTCTGGCTGCAATGAAATCAGGAGGCTGCTGTGATGCTTTCCTATAATAGCAGTTCACTCCCGCACACCCTCCTTCTCCCTTGCCTCTCTAGGAACTTTACCCGCCTGCCTGGCCTCTTTCTCATGTTCTCACTTCCACGAACAAGTTTCCACCATCCTCCCTTCTTCCACCTCTGGAACCTCTACCTCCTGTGTGCTTGAGACACCTCCCATGACCCTCCTGAGTTTCCTGCCACTGGCTGCTTGTGGAAGTAGAATCCATGTTTCTGGGGAGCAGTTGGGGATTTGTCAACTGAAATCCTTCCGTATGCGCAGAGACCACAAAGCTTTTAGCTCATCTTGGAGTTCAGGATGTGGTATTAAAGTGTGTGGCTTTATCTGGAGGTGCCATTGTTCCAGAAGGGCTCCATGGGCTCATTTAGGCTAATTTGTTTATGTGTTTTGACTAATGATGGTTTCGACCTGAGCCTCAGTGATATGAGGAAAAGTCCTGTCCCCAAATGTCAAATGGTGAACAGCAACCCCACGTGCCTCAGTTACAGGATGTCCTAACTTTTGCTATGCTCTTGGGGTCTCCCAGCAACCCTGTAAGGAAAGAAGGGGAGAATTTTATCTTTTAATAAATTAGGAGGCTGAAGTTCCAGGCTCACTTGTAGTCCGTTGATGAGAGGGCACTTTGGCAATATTTTTCTATAGACTTACCCATATGCCTTAAAAGTGCCTAGAATTGTTTTATTGAATTTAAAGGGGAAACATTCAGAGATATCTCCAAGGATTTATAATCAGGATTGCTGACTGCAGCTTTATTTTTAATGGAGCATAAACATTTGTAAAGTTACTCCAAAAGGGGACTGGTTCAATAGATGATGTACATGAGAAGAGACAATTAATAGGCAGTGTTTAAAATTCATGGTGGTGATAAATATTAAGACAGGAAAATGTTTATAAGGTGTCCTATAAAAAGTGCAGGTTAGGAAAATGTATGCACATTATTGTCCCAGGTCAGTTAAATATATATTTATATGTAAAGATTGAAAACCAGAACACCAATAGGGCTGTTGTCTGAGTGTGGGGTGACAGGCGTTACTCGAGTGGGCCGCAGACAAAGTGCACATGGCTCCACCTGATGCTACTTTATTCACAAAGAGCATGGCTTTGGGGTTTGGGTCGGGCCAGGGCTCACCCGTGAGCACCAGTCCTTCGAAGCCTCACAACTCCTGATCCCTTCCCTTGCTTACCTCCAGGGAACAAGATGGAATCATGCTTCTGTTATGGGGGCAGTGAGGACAAGGAGGGGCTTTTTTACTCCATGATCACTTTGTCTTTTGTCAAGTTTTACATTTGATTCTCACAAATATGCCTCATCCTAACAAATGGGCAACTGAAAGGCAGGGTTGGATTGGTGGAGAGATTGGAAACCATGTCAGGTGCTGGGGCCGGAGACACTTAAACTGAAGATGAGCCAAGTGTAGACATTGAGGGCTGTTGGGAGGAAGGGGAGGAACGGGAAGTGCATCCATGAAAGCAGGATGTGTGCACAGTACAGGGCCCCGGGACTGAGAGCCATGTTGCTGGAACAGGGGGAAGCTGTGCTCTGTATGTGCCGGGTAGTGTAAGGATGACAGCTTCCAGTAGATACAGTTTTCCCCATAAAGTAAAGCCCAAACAATCTCAGCTCTGTCTGATCATGAGTCACCTCCTTGGTGGCGAGTGACCTCTGGCTGTGAACAGTCCTGGCCATGATGGTCCCTACACAGAGATACTCTCCGGGCTGCAAGATGCCTTCTTCCACCTCACAAGTGCTGTCACCTCTCTCTAAAGCTCACAAGTAAGTCAGACCCAGGAGTCTCAAGTGGCCAATGCCTGCAATAAAGGAAGAATAGCTTCCTTTATTGCACCTTTTGGAGGAAGAAGTCAAGCATTGCTGACAGCTGACAAGTCTGGATTTCTGCCTCCCTGGCCTGGGATGTGGGGGATCTGAGGTGGCTGCAGGATGAGACAGGGGTGCTCAGTGGAAGACAAGCTTTCCCATTCTTGGGGGAAGTTCATGCTGTCAGGAGAGTAGAAGTGGAACCAAGCAGGGCCACATTTGCTAGGTTGTGACCTGGGGTAGGAAGTGTTTTGAGACCGATTTACTCAGAAGTATAAGAGATTATAAAGGGTTCCTTTCAGGGAGAAGTCAGCGACTATTTCCCCTGTGTAGTCTTAGAAAGTGGTTGTGATTTCTGTACATGGGCATCCACAAAGATGTCATGGTTCAAAATATTAAATAACAAAATATAAAAGTAACCCAGATTTCATAAAGCTAATACAATTCTCGTCACAGGAAGACCCCACTGAATCTTTGATACGTAATCTGCCTTTGAGATCCAGGGACATAGAGGATGTAGATGACCAGGTGGACTTGGTCAGAGCCTTCTACCTGTCAGGCAATGTTGAGGGATAGGCCCCGGGCCTGGGACATGTTAGAAGTGCACAACCTCCGTCCCCGCCCCAGACCAGTTTAACAAGCCCTCTGGGTAGAGACTTCAGAGTGTCATGGTCATGTCTTCCATGGTGATGGAAGTTCCCCAGTCTAGTTTCCCATGTCCTGCTGAGAGGCTGTATGATAAGTTTCCATGGTCAAGGGGTTTGGTAAACACTGTCTCTTTCTTTTGGAGGGAGAGTTGCAGATTCTAAGAAGCACTGCAGGAAAAAGACCTTAATTTCAACTCACATATTTCAAATGTATTTAACACCAAATCCTTCCTGAATAACACTTATTAACCCAACACCACACCTGTGCCCTGCCAAACTTGTCATCTGTGGAGCATTGCTGAGTACTGGGGTGGACTTTTACTACAGTAGAGTGTAAGTGAATTTCTATCCATGGTGGGCAGTAGGGAGCTTGCACAGTGCAGTAAGTTTAATAGGAGCATTAAACAAATTGTCTTTCAAATTCACCCAGATCACCTTCCTGAAGTCTACCCTCATACTCTGGTAAAATCTCTTATATCCAAATGCCTGTCATTCCAGGATCCATATTACAAAGGGAGAAAGTAAACCCTTGACCTATTTTGGTTTTTTGTCTTGGCATTGAAGACACCTCTCACTGGCAGTGTTATTTGTAGATAGGGCTCACAAAGAGCAGACAGAAGCATTCTTATCCTTAAAAAAAGAACCAGAAAATTATCAAAACAAACCTTTAGATTTATTTTTGAACTGAAAGTTTAGGAATTCTAAACATCAGGGCAAGGAGTTTTTTACTTCTTTAATCCTAATTAAATTGCATTTTGTATTTATATACCCAGCCTTAAAACTGAACCTAATGTATTTATAAAAAATCAGGTGGTATATTTATTTTACATAATTTAAATAATTAAAATAATTTGAATAAGGCATACTATTTGTTATTCAGGATAATAAAGAATTTGGATCCAGAGAGTAAATTATAAAGAGCTTGTTAAATTTACCTTACATACAATCTTTAATAATGTGCTTGAATTTTAATTTAAATGTAAGATTTTAAATTAAAAATTACTTCCACAACTTTTTTACTTCTCAGGGTGGGAGAGGATACCAGGCCCTGCCTCCCCAGGAGCTCATTGGAAATGCAGAATCTGGGGTCCTTCCAAGCACATATTTTTTTTCATTAAGTTTATTGGTACTGTTTAGGTATGCAGAACAGTTACATTCATCATTGGGATCTTGTACCTTTACATGGCTCTTATTTTTTTCCCATTCCCCTGCCCTCCCTTCACCCCTTCCACCTTTCCCTGTTTTTTTTTTTTTCCTCATTGCACCCTTCCCTGTTTGCAAATATTTTGTTTCCATTTCCAAGCATGTATTTAACAGGGTCTCCAGTTGGTTCCTTCAAAATTTGAGAAACACTGTGTTCTATCATGATGGTGAGAAAATAATTTAAATTTCCTAAGGGGAATGCTGAGCTGTTAGGTCATCACCAGAAGGGTCAGGGCAACTGTTCTGGGTTTGTAGGGGGCAGGGGACCCAACACAGTTGCTTCTGCCACAAGTGACTGTCAAGGAAGGGTAGGGGGTGGCATGGGCCATGCAGGGTGCTGCTCTGAGGAGCCATGGCCACTATGTCCCTGCAGATGGACTTGGGTGAGGACTGGTGGGTCCAGGAATTACTGAAGCGGAGGAAAGGTCAGGTTTGTATTGTTTCCTTGTGCTCTGTTTTTCAGGTTGTGAATGTGTGTTCCTTGCACAGGAGCGGAGGTCTCATTGCACATGACCAGGGTGACAGTGCTAGCCAGCCCAGGTGCAGGGCACTTCCTCAAAGACCTCCTTCTCTGGTCAGCGTAGCTCTTCAGTATCCCTGAGGCCCTGATCACAGTGTGCCTGAGCTCAGCCTTCGGGACACTGTGCTCAGGAGTAGGCAGTGAGGGGGCCTATGAGTTTCAGAGGAGACTCATGGCTGGGTGCCACACAGGGCATAGCTGCCTCTTGTGTGGGTTCATGCTGTCACATGCCAGTTCCCAGTATCTAGATATTATGGCCTCTGAAATTTTTAGCCAATGATTTAGATGCCTTGAGTGCCCTGGGGGCTGGCAGGGACAGAGCCAGGTGGGTATAGCCTCCATTACCTGTCCCAGAACCTCCCACTCTCCTCCTTGAACAGATGGCCATGGCTCTGTGTCCATTCCTGAGCTTGGGGCTGTGGGAGGGGCCTGTCCCCATTCTGGGTATCTGTTGTCACAGGCTTTGCACTCCAGCCAGAAGCCCTCCTGCTGCCCTGATGTCAGCCCCTGGGGCTCTGGGCCCCAGGCTGGGGAGACCCTGCCCATCATAGTCACCGTCACCCAAGGATAGAAGCTGATGAAATGCCCAGAGATGTTGGCTGTGACCTTTCAGTGTCTCTCAGGAGTGAGGGCTCACTGAGCCAATGAGAGGTGACTTCTGGGTGTGGAGTCATTGCATTTCAGACCTGGGAGTCTTCATTCAGTCCTTGTTACCCAAGAGTCATCTTGTTCACTGAGCACCAGCTTGTGACCTGTACCAGGCCCTGATGTGTGGGAGCAGGGACAGCCTGAGCCTGGTGGTGCTCACTACCTGGGGAAGGAACAGGGCAGGAGACCAGGAGCATGAAGTTCTGTGTGTGCAGGAATTCAGGGGAGGGGCCTGTGGGCCTGAGGGGTAACAGGGGTGTCCAGGCTGCCACACACCTATGTGAGGAGCCCACAGTCTGCCTGGTGGGGAATTTCAGTGCCATGGTCAGGTCCACTGGCTTCCCTGTGACCTCCCTGGTCAGGTGCTGCATGTGGATCTGTTACTCACACCTGAGAGAGCCAGGAAGGCAGCTTCTTCTTTTTGTTTTGTTTTGTTTTTTTTTTTTTTTTTTTTTTT